CTCCCGTCACCGACACACTTGAGGCACCGGCGCTGCCGGCTTTGATCGAGCGTGCCAGGTCCCTCCTCGCCAATCAGCGGGAAATTGCTGTAMACACTCGGGCAGCTTTTTGAGAGCTTTGCTTCCCCCTGCTTGAGAACAGACACAATCCCTCGCGCTCGAGGATGCAGCACAGATTATCTAGTCAGGGGCCGTGACTATCCAGCCAGGCTCCAGAGTGGTTAATTAAGCTGTTCATCGCGCTGTCGTGCTGTCTGTCTTTATCCTGGCTGAAGACGCATCCTGCGCTGGCACCCAGCTCACGGCGGGGAGCAGCGGCTCCTGCCTCCCGCAGGTGGTGGCACAGTTGGTGGCACAGGTGGGGTGGCACAGGTGGGGTGGCACCGGCAGGACGCTGGGCGCTGATGAGAGGCTGACTGCAGCCGGCCGGAGTTAATCGCAGCTCCGCACAGAGCCCCTTTGTCCGGCGGCGCCGGGACTGACCCTGCCAAGCCGCCTCGCTGTTGCCAGGGCGGTGTGAGAGCCCGGGGCACTGCCAGGGTTTGTTGTTCACGCCGCGTCGGGGACAGCTGCCAAGGTCCTGCGAGGTGCTGCCCTGGTTTCCTGCAGCGCTGCTAATAAATATTCAGAATCTTCACCCAAACCAAGCCCCCACCAACCAAACCAACTCCCACCCTTGAGAGGGAAATAGGAGCGTGTTTCTGCGCTATTGCTGCTAATTGCAAGAGGGAATCATAGAGCYATGGAATGGTTGGAGCTGGAAGGCACCTTGAATAACCRATTTTTCCMCCCCYTSCMWKGGCAGGGACACCTYCCACTGTCYCAGGCTGCTCCCAGCCCCAATGTCCAGCCTGGCCTTGGACACTGCCAGGGATCCAGGGGCAGCCACAGCTGCTCTGGGCACCCTGTGCCASGGCCTYCCCACCCTCCCAGMCAGCAATTCCTTCCCAATATCCCATCCATCCCTRCCYTCTTTCARTTTGAACCTATTCCCCCTYGTYCTGTCCCTCCWTCCCTTGGAATCCCTTGACTGAGTCACTGATCCTTCTTGTCAGACCCTTCGGGTCTTGAAAGGCCACAGTTTGGTCACCCCAAATCTTCTCTCCTGCAGGCTGARCAATCTCAGCTGGCTCAGCCTTTCTTCATGGAAGAAGTGCTCTGATCATCTYGATGGCCTCCTCCGGCCTCTCTCCAGAAATCCCTGCCCCAGGTGTTCAAACAGAACAGCTCCGGCACTGCCACAAACCCCAGGGCTCACGCTGTGGACGGAGAGCCCTCAATCCCCGGCTCACTCTGGGTCAGTGCAGGTGCAGAGCACTCCCCTGGCATGCAGTTGGTGTGCTTCGGCCTCTCCCTGCAGCTGGGATGGTCAGCTACCGCCGATGTCCACTCTGCCCCTTGCTGGGCCCCTCCAGCGGGGGAAAGCCCCGTGCTGAGCAGAAGACGGGGATCAGGGAGCCGGAGCCGGGCGTGTCACCRYGTGTGACTGCAGTGACACCTTGGAGCACCACGCCACACAGCAGAGTCCTCTGAGAGCACCTTTGCCCAAACATTTTCCACCACCGAGGGCCCCGAATGTCCTTAAGTTTCGCAGGCTGTGTTTGTCACCTGGGGCTGTTTGTCACAATCGACCAGGGGACAACCCCCACCCTTGGCACAGAGAGCACATGGAGCCAGYTTCCCTGGGGGATTTTAACAACTGCTAATGCTCCTATTTGTCTTTCTGCTCTCTGTTTCCACCCTGCCATCCACTGGCACAAGCACCAATTAAATACCTTCCTGCTCGCGGGGTAACCGGATAGGAACATTCATTTTAATTCTAGACAGCCAAACAGTAGAGTTACAGATTACTATACCACCAAAAATTGCTTATACACCTCCATTTCCTCTCGTGTAATTCCCTGGGAGTTTTAATTTACGGGACCATTTTTTATTTTTTCTTGCCACTTCCCTTGCATCAGGCAGGGCTCCTCCAGCTCCAACAAAGCAGCGTGCGTGTCTGGAGRGGATCAATAACTATTGAGCTATCGCGCTTCCTCCACTTAGACTGTTGAAGCAGCTTCCTTTAATTGTTCTTTCACACTGTAAATACAGCGCACGGTGAATTTTTTCCTTTGAGGCTGCTCAGCGGGRAGAGCTCAGCTGCCTCACCTGTGATCCATCACACCCTCTGTGCTGGAACAGCTCCGGAGGGCACGGACAGGAGGGCGCTGCCGTGCTCGGGGGGCCGAAGCGGGCCCCGGAATGGCCCCACAGGGACCGTGGSTTGGTGCAGACCCGGACACACACAGGTTACAG